TCTCTGAAGCAGACGACTTCTCAAAAATTGTAGACCAGTGTAATTAGTCCTCACAGAACTATTCCTATAGACATCAGTGGGAGACTACTCAGGTCAACAATGGTTTTCAGGATTGGTCTTATAGTTAGTACAGTAACAAGTGTGAAGATTTTAGGGAAAGAACTCTTTATTAAAACAACAACAACAGCTATTTGCTTGCGTTTGCTCTCATTGAAGTCAATGGCAAAACTCCCATTGATTCCAGAGAGAGCAGGATCCATATTTCTTGTTATAAATCTCCAAAATTACAGCTTCTTAATGAAACCACTTAATGAAAAACATCTTGTTCTTTGGAGCATTGTGGTTCAATCTACAATGTGACTTTCTCTAGATTCTTCTGAATCCAGTCAATAAATCAACCTTTTATTAGGACCCTGCTCTGCTTCTTTTTGACTATTATTATGATATTATATGATCATTTGGTGTTTTCAGTTGAGACAGTGCTTCCTTGTGTACTATCATGGAATATCAACCTTACTCATTGTTGTACTGCAAATGTACTGCAAACGCCTTTAATAGGCTATAGCAGCACAAGGATTTGGACAAGTATAGTCAAAACAATTTGATAAATTATAGTATCTTTAGTGAAATCATAGCCATACAAAATATTGTTTATCCTGTGCAACCCCCCTGATAGAAATTGGATCACTGAAATGTGTTTTGAATTGTTTTTGTACTGGGTTGCTATTGCTGCATTGAGACAGATTTGATCCCATCATAATGATACTATCTAGAATTATGTAACTTCTCACAGTTCCTGATTGTGTCCAGGTTTTTAATTTGTTCACTGTGCTTTCTGTTATAACTGATTTGGTAAATGTAGGCCTCCAAGTTTTAAGGCTTTGAGGCTGGCTAACAAACAGCCCTATTCATTAAAAGGTATATGCTCTTTTTATTCACCTTTCATGCTGATAAATTAGGTCTGGATCCTCCAGTCCTTATTCAGGCAAAACCATTTCTTGAATTCAGAAGCTATTGAGGGAACGTAGCCTCTCACAGGAGCTACTTGACACCTTGTAGTTGTGACAATTATACATTGAGAGAGAGAGAGAGAGAGAGAGAGAGTGGGAGAGCATGCACATAACTAGAGCTAAAGATGGAGGTTCAGCTTTAATTTTAATGTTACTAAGTTTGTTGATATGAACTTTGAGCCCAAATCTTGTTTTAAACCTAATAGTTGCATTTAATTTTTTGGAGATTTTTTTAAACTATCATTTACATGAGAGGCCAGAAAGAAACCTTTCTTTCTTTCTTTCTTTGTTTCTTTCTTTCTTTCTTTCTTTTAGAATCTCATGAAAAAAGCATGCTATGTTTAGTAAGGGATTTATGTATAGTAAGGGATTGCCACATTTTACAATTAGGGATTTTTTTTCTGTCTAGAGACACTCCTACTTCAAGACTACATTCCAAATTGTAGTTCACAGCAGCCTTTTTCCCATATTGAGCCCGATATCAACTTTAGCTCTGATGGCACAAACATTTCTGCAGATTGTACAATATGCATTTGAAATGACAGATCATTTTTGGGATGTTGTATCCACTCAAATACTGGATAGACTAGTGATTCCTTGTCTTGACATTTTGCCTGTAGTAAGTGCTTCATGTTGTAAAACTAATTCTTAGGTTTTTCCATTCTAAGTTTTGGACTGTCATGTTTGTATGTGTCAAGAAAGGAAAACAATCACAGTCATGAGAAGGACCATGGAATCTTTCACCACCTTAATTTACAGCTATGCAAACAGTTTTATATATACATTACAAAAATACCAGAAACTAGCCCTCCAAGTCCTATATAGTTTGAGTCATGAGAGCCTAACTTAACAGGGGGTGGATAGAAATACCACAGACACTTTTAAAACTCTAAAACATTTCTCTTGTATAAACATGATGGTGCGGTGGGGTAGTTACAGTTATATTGACACTTGTCTGGGCTAACCTTGACTCTGGAAAGGATCCAGAGGCTAGCAACAAAGATGATCAAAGGGATGGAAGGCAAGCCATATGATCAAAGGCTGAGGGAACTGGGTATATTTAGTTTGGAAAAGAAGAGATTAAGGTGGGATATGATAGTGGTCTTCAGATACTTGAAAGCCTGCCATAAAAAGATGGAGAAAAGTTGTTCTCTTTTGCCATAGGGGGCGGGACAAGAGGCAATGGGTTCAAACTACAACATAACTGATTTAGATGAATTTCAGGAAAAACGTCCTAACTGTAAGAACAGTAGGACAATGGAAAAGACTGCCTAGGAAGGTTGTGAAAGCTTCTTCACTGGAGGTTTTCAAAAGGAGGCTGGATTGCCACCGGTCTTGGATGGTTTAGACAGAACAATCCTGCATCTGGGCAGGAGGTTAGACTAGATGACCCTTGCAGTCTTTTCTAATCCTATCATTCTATAATTCACTCACTCATGACTTCAGAATTCATGGCATATGAGGCTGTATCAAACTGGTGCTCTGTGACTCTTTTACCCCATACCGTGACATGCTGTCCTTTATACTTACTTCATGTTTCAAAAATTAATTTGGAGGGGAAGGCTTGGGGAGGGTTCTCTCAATGTAACATACTGAAAAAACAAATGTATCAGTTACATTCTGGGGACAAAATTGACTTATAGGGAGGAATGAAACAGAGGCAAACTGTATGACAGGATGGAAAGAAGGTGGAAAACAAGTCAAAGGGTTAGAAAATAGTGGGTTTATTTATTTATTTTTAATATTCACTTTCTAAAGTTTTGCATCCATATTTTTTGAGTGTTTTTTCCTTTTTTTCCTGTGTGTTTTGGAATTGTTTTGCTTCTGTTAAAGGAGATGAGAAGCTGAGATGAAACATCTTTTTCACTGACAGCCTGAAAATTCTAAGTTTAGGCACCAAGGAGGGCAGGGGGGTTGTAATAGCTAATCAGAATTGAGAAATGTGCATGCTTACAGTAGGTTTATTGAAAAATAACTGTATAGCGATTATGCAAATAAGATACTCAGTGTCAATTAGAGGGCAAGGTGTTGTGTAACTGGGAGAAACTGGACAGTGAGGCATTAGTAATTTTCTATTACTTATCACCATCTCATGTATGTCCTAGACAGCAGCTAAAGTTGGATTCATCCCAATTCATGTGGAATAATCTCATTTTTTATTCTTTTTCAAGAACTTGAAGGACTTTCAAAGTAGCTTGCAAATCTCTTTGGGTTAGAGAAGCAACTGACTCTCTTCATCTGAGTTTGGAAAGCACCTCTCATATTTTGGATGGTCCCCTAATATAAATAAATAATAATAACAAATGCATTTTGACATCACAACATGGTGACTTTTTTGTTACTGCTTGGATGAGTGCTAGGTAGGCTACTTGTAAATTTTAATACCTTCTTGCTCACAAGAACAGAGCAGCTAAATAGAGCACAGTCAAGAGGGATGGTGGGAGATACACATTCCAGCAGTCAGTGGGCATCTTTAAAAATTGTTTGTTTTTTTCAAGTGGTTGCAGACACATATTCCACTCAGGTGTGCATGTGCCCAGCATGCCGAAGCTGTAGAACTTTGCCTTTTGCCTAGCAGTGTCCACAGGGGTGGCGCTCATGACCTGTGGCTCTAGTCCCTCCCCAGGCTACTTAATGGCAGCACTGCCCCAACTTCC